CTTCCAACTAGGGACGAACATTAGACGTACAATGGGTTACGACCAGCCTATCGAATCAGTATTGCTTCAGTTGTGTGTAACGCATGATTGTGTATTTTAATTTCGCATTCTGTAGAATTGAATCTTTTGAAACTGAATTCCACAGTTAACTGGTTAAAAACAAATCAAATTTCAATCTTATACTTAAACTATTCGCTTCTCGTTAATTCATATCTTGCCTAGTTATCTTACAAAGCAATTATAATTTAAGTGATTAATAACATTCTTTTTACATGCATTCGATAACATATACATAGAAATAAATTGGATTAAAAAAAACTTAATCGAAAAAGTTAACGATGACAAAACATGAGGCGCTTGATTTCCTAGAAATTTATGTAACTTCAAGCGTTTATTTTTATTATTCACACATACGTGAGTATTATTTACGTATATAACTACGTCCATTAGCGTCTTTAAAATGTTTGTCAGGAATAAAAAAGGTTACGTGAACGAGTTTTCGAATGGACTGTTAGTGGAAGCTTTCAACGATTGAGCTTGAACATTAAAGTTAAGTACATATAAAAAGATCGTTCGTTCTAAACCTATTTATCTTCCGCTATGATGAAGAACAAAAGATACAGATTTTCCATGGTAATCTCTATGAATATCGGTCTAAATGTAATAATCTTCTACTATACGATAAGTAACAGTGGGCCCTACATAATAACACACCGGCATTGAGTAAGTTTAAATTTGTAAAAGTGCGTATAGTATAGCAGCACGCATAGTTTCAAAAACCCGCTACATGCTCACTTTTGTATATGAGGGTGGTGTGTGTATGTTGTGTGTGTGTACAATGCTTAGGAAAAGTCCGTAACGATTTTTCTGTTTCTTATATTGCCTAAAAACGGCTGGCATTGTCAATAATACCTAGACATTGTTCATAATTCGAAATTTCCCAAATGACCCATAACATATATGTATAGAAGTACCAAAAGAACACAGAAATATCATATTTTCCAAGTATTCCTGATAGTAATTTTATCAATTTTGATAGCATTATTGTCATATGAATCGTTATTGAAATATTTATTTTGTTCAATGAAAGCATTTCAATAGCATGTCAAAGTTCACAGAGTGTTCAAAGTGCACACATTAGAGAAATGGATCGATGGAACCACGAATCCCCATATTCATCCAATTTTGATCATCCGTTATCGCGTTTCTCTCGTTCTCTGTTTTGTACAAAGCTCTTATCTATTCGTTCGTTGTACATTTCCTTTTATTTTGAGTGAGCTAATCGACCAACCAACCTGATTCTTTCTGTCTAACGTTTCTAGCTTGAGAAGATCGATGTTTGTAGCTTTTTGTGGGTCATTGGGAAACGGATGCGAGGGTGCGGCATTTAACTAAACGCCGAGTATATGTATATATATATATTTATACTCGTTAAATTAAAGACTCATCTTTCCTATGACAAGTACCATTTATCGATACGTTTGGATTGCTTTGGAATTGTACTAAAGGGTTTTATTTAAAACCAAGTATATTATATATTTACGGAGAAAATAATAGATGTATAGAAAAATATACTCTTGAGAGAAAATATAGAATGAAAGTAAACACAATTGAAGTACAATTTGAAGTATCGAAAGAGAGAGGTAAAAAGTAAGCAGAGAGAAAGAGGAAGAAAGAGAATAAATCAAAAGAGAAATGACTAATCGTCAATTCAAGCGAGATTACTTTAATAAACGTATCCCCGACCGTTTCTTGTCGACGTCGTGACATCGAAGTTGCCTATCACATACGTTCGTTATTCACGTGCTTATTATATACGTTTCACGCTACAGATAAATATGACGCACGTAATTGCATCCGTTCTAATACCACTCTTTTCCTGTGTTTCTAGAAATACTATTTTGATATATAATAAATACGATCGATAAATGATATGAAATTTTTCTATATATAATAGTAGGTCATAGAATTTAATATAATATACTTTTAATCGTATTTTCAAATATTTCATTATGAAAATGGAATATATTTTCATTTCTATCGCTCTTCCATTGTAAACACCTGTAATATATTATGCTAATCGTATTTGTCGCCAGGCAACAACGACTCTCGCTTGATTTTAATTCAACGTTATATGAGTAAATGAAGATGATACGATATTTAATAAAAAACGTTTTATTTTTAATTAACCACATGTACATTAGGGAAATTCAAGTGACTCATATTCGAAACAGTTGGAATAAGATAAACACAAGGACAAAATAAAAAGTCATTTATAAAAGTTTGTTTGACCGAGAATCGATCTTACAAAAACAATTGTTTTAACATTTATACCGTAATAATAATCGCTTGGTTAAACTTTGATATATTTCGACAACAAATATTGGTGTCACCATTCTTTATTCACATTTGATCGATGAAATTATATACGAGAAAATGAAAGCAAAGAGAAAATAGAGCTGAAATTTGATTGATAACGACTCATTAGTTAGATTAATTAATTAGAATTATCGAGATTGTATTATATAGCGTCTATCTGTATAAAACCTTGAAACGAACAAGCTTGAAATTTTTCAAAGACGTAGACGTGTATTTGTACATGCGTAGAAGAAAAGAAAAGTTTGTGCAAAATATCGAAGAAAATTAACAGAACATGCTAATAAGTGGTCCTCATTGATATTTATACCGCGAATATATCGCAGTTATTTGTACGACACGCTACCATAAACAGCTTATCGTACCGTTTTTAGCGGTTCAAATCCTTTGATAGACGTGAAAGAATGCTGGGTCATAGTTAGTTGACACCCTTCCCCGCTCATTCTCTCGTTCTCATTAGTTAATTAGAGAATATACAAGGACTGTGTCCCTAATTCGCAACTTGCTTCTAACTGCTAACAGTTATCAAAGCGATAAAAACATGGAATCATTTTAAAAAGACGCCAAAATTCGAATTTTTCTTTTACTCGATTCGAGTAAGTGCAATAAAAAAATGAGCAGAATTAATGAGTAATATTTAACTGATAAATATTGCCGATAACACGATATTAACGTAGAAAGAAACTTGTTGACGAAAATAGTCATAACAGTCATTTGCATAAAGGTTGATTCACGAGCATGTGACAAGTAATATATAAGTTTCTAACAGTAATGAGAAGGCATGCGAATCGATTCAATTTCAAAGTCTTCGTAACGCGATTGTGAGACAGAGAGAAAAATCGATAAATCGACAAAGTATTTATTATACGAAATTTCTAGTACTCCCGTTTTTCTTTGATTGAAAATTGCAAAAGTATTTAAAACATAGGCACAAGACAAAAAACATCAACCGTAAAAAGCTTGAAAGCATTAATAAAAAAACGCGTTTACGATCTACCATTGAACAGTATGACGGTATAGAGAATACTATGTCAAGGAAATTATCCATGGTACGTGGCTAATAAATAAAAAAAAAAAAAAAAAGAAAAAAAGAAAGACTAATACAGAAATCTTATCGCGCAGAATAAATCTGTGAAACGAAAAAGGTATTCTCCTTTCCAGAATGATGTAATCTTATTAACGAGAAGATCGCTTACTCCAAGATTTCATAAAACGATCATATCGCATGCGCGTAACGAAAGGAACATTTTCACGTCTTTTTTTCTCATACATAATATAAAAGAATTGTAAAATTTTCCTTTCGCATTTACATCGCATAAAATATAAAAAAATTTACATAGAAATATAAAATGGAAATAAATACTATTTTCCTGACTCATTGTGTTAATACAACTACGAAGAAAATAATCGCGGTAAGGACGTGAGGAATTACATACAAAGAATCGATGAGGATGTTAAACATGACAAATTTGACCTCGGTGAATACGTTAATTTTTACTTTCTCATTGTCTCTCTACTTTCGAAATTTTCCCGTGTACATCTCATTGTATCGTTTGAAAAATAATTTATACCTACATATCGAATAGAGTTACGTCAGTTCGATTGTTTTCGTACGAACGCACGATTTCGGATATGCCAATGTTCGTTCATCTTGCGAAACTGATTAAAATATCTAAAGGATCCCATAAAGAATTGAAAAAAAAAATAAAAGAACGATAACGGATATACTCATTTGCCGATACTATCTATTACAACAACAACAACAACAACAACAACTAAGCGAGGCAAGTTGCACTTTTGAAAGTTCATTATGTAATAGAAGCATATGCGAGTTCCTGTGCACAGAAAAGCGCGATACGTACCGAGCTATATTCAAACTTCTCTAACTCACCGAATTGATGCAACTTTCAAAAATATCCATGCCGTCTTTTCGCGAACTCGCGCATCTAGTTTGCCTAACTAGAAACGGAAATTATCGTCAATTTTTGTAACTTGAGATTAAAAATGGTCGTTTTTATCTGTTCATTTTCTTTTATATCGGTCTACTTCCTTATAAAAAATTGTTTTCTCGGATATTTATCTCCTTTTTCGTGTCCATACAAAAATGAAAAAAAAAGAAGTATAAGTTAAAAAATAGGGTCGTGTACGCAGGTGGAATAATAAAAGTATATGTCATCGACAACGCTGGGAAAAAAAAGAAATAATCTCTCTCTCTCTCTTTCTCTCTCTTTCTTTCTTTTATAGCTACGTTTATACGACTCTTTTAAAGGAACTCTCGAGGTCGTGGCGTATTCCATCTTACGTCACGCGCGAATACTTTCGTGATTAAATGGCCCACGATCATCTATATTATTGTAGATATATTTCAAATGTACCTATGTCATAGCCATTAAATTAGATCCAATATAAGAAGTAAGAAACACGTTTAGGAGAATGAAGGCGATGGATGGTTGCGCGTTAGGTTGGGAGGAGGGGTTAAATAGACGTAGATAGTAGATGTACGTGGTTGTACATAGATGTAGTAGCCTGACACATAGGTTTGGTCTCTTCTCACGACGGCGTTTGATCGTTCGCGCGCGTCTCTTCGGGGTGGGGTGCATCGGTGTAGATCTAGGAGAGATAAAGAAAGAGAATAACGAAGCCTCGGCTCGGCGGACTCTTCTTGGTTTTCCTCGTCAGTTAAATTCCGAACGTAAGCGCGCGCGCAACGTTCCAACGTTGAATATTTTTTCCTCTAGTTTCAAACAACGTTTCGCTTTCTTTCAATTTTATTTTGATTTTTGGGGTGACGTACGGAATTATTATTATTATACGAAAAGTAAATTATAAATAGAAATAAAGAATAGCAGAAATTATAGGAACGGGTTAGCTAGCTCTTGGCACCGCTACGGAAATAGACATCTAGGGAAAAAGGGAGAACGCGCGCGCTCCTTACGTGCGCGCGGGAAAGACCAGTCGAACAAATCGAACGAATTAAGTAAAATGAAGGGCCTAACATTGTCCTTGCTGATTCTGACGGTAGTGGCAACGGTTACAAGGGTAGCGCGATGTTACGAGCCATTCCAAGTGATCTTTCAATGGAACACGATAGACGTGATCTGGCCGACGGAAGAGATGCGCCAAATGGCCCTTCGAAAGGGTGATTACATACCGGCTAACAATTTGATATCCGGTATTAAATTGTGGAAAAATAAAATGTATTTAACGGTACCAAGGTGGAAAAACGGAGTACCGGTTACATTAGGCGTCACCTCGGCGATCCCAATCGAGAGAAATACGGCCCCAAAATTGGAGGCTTTTCCTAGTTGGGCCATGCAAAAGATCGGCGATTGTAATGCTTTTCAATTGGTTCACGGCATGGAAATAGATCCAAAAGGTCGAATGTGGGTACTTGACACTGGCAGGCCCGCCGCCTTGACCTTGGACAGCAAATCCGAGTGCAAGCCTCGCTTGGTCATCCTAGATCTCGAGAACAAGGGAGAAGTACTTCGTAGTTACGAATTCCCGGAAGAAGTTGCTCCCCGCGCTACGGCCTACCTAAACGACATCGTCTTGGATCACGAGGATGGCGGTATGGCTTATATAACCGACAATGGAAATAGCGATCCCGGTATTATCGTCTACTCTTTGAAGAACAACACGTCTTGGAAGATCAGGCACGAATCGATGAATGCAAAGAGCGAGGCTGTAGGCTTTATGGTTTCTAAAACTCACGTTATATTACCAATTAACATTGACGGAATCGCTCTCTCGCCAGCGAGCAGCAAGGACAGACAGGTCTATTATTCTCCCATATCTTCCTTTCACCTTTACTCCTTGCCAACTTCCGTTTTGAAGAATAATACGAAGGACGTTAATCGATACGTCAAAGAACTCGGTCGCAAAAGCTCGCAGACCGATGGCATGGCCATGTCCGCCACCGGTGTACTTTATTTTGGCCTTCTCGCCGATGACGCCGTTGCTATTTGGGACACCAAACAGTCGAACTCTTTCACCACCGGTCAAAGGATCATATCAAGGGATCACACTCATATGCAATGGCCCGATACGTTCGCTTTTGACGAGGACGGTAACTTTTACTGTGTTACCAATTCCTTTCAAAACTTTATCAACAATCTCGTAGACATCAATGTTCCCAATTATCGTGTCATTAAGACGCGAGCCTTATCCAAGAGTTATCAATATTTCGAAGATGGCTCGGCACCGCAGCTACCGGATATCACAGCTGGTGCGGGTGGACTTTCCGTTCTTCTTCCTATGATATTATTGCCTCTTTTCCTTCTGAATATTTTTAATTAATTTTTCATTCCTCCGTCCATCCATCCATCCATCCATCCATTTGTTCATCATCTACGAGTTCCAACTCGATTCAACAATTATTCGAGGATTGGGACTTACAAATATCTCGACCTATATAAGACGTATACATGCTGCGTATATAGCTATGTGAATTACGATCGTACGTCGTATGGAACCAAACTACGGATGAAGAAAAAAATCTACCTGATTCGAATTGTGAGAATACACGATTTCGTCTCAATATTATTATCGGTTGATTGTATTCCCTAAATCTACAAGCTACGTCGTCAAATCTCTTTTAAATCGAGTCGATAGGGATCTTTTAAAAGATGACGACTTGAACGTTGACATTCCAATATAAATATAATCCTTGTCGACTACGTAACATTGCGAATATGCTCATTAAGTTTACGATATCACGAGAAATGTGCATTTCCTTGTTGTCTCAAGATGTAGCACAAGAACCGCAACGCATTTTTCTACTTTCGTTATATAATTATTCAAAGAAAAGAAGAATACCAAAAAATACATAGTAATAACGAACAGGTGCAAGCCTGAAATCTCTACGAAACTACCTCGATATTCTTAAATATATTTCAAAATGATATCAATAGAAAAAAATAATCAAATAACTTTCAATTTAATTATTAGATATTATCGAAATAAAAAACATCAAGCAAAAGTACTTAAACGCGAGACACCAATGGCGACACGAACTCACGACCTCGTTTCATAAAACGCATAAACTTTGACTAGAGATTCGAGATTAGAAAGAATCAACGACGTTACGCGCTGGTATAACGAGAAAAAAAAGAAAGAAAGTAATATATATATAGAGAGAGAAAGAGAGAGAGAAAAAAAGAAGAAATCACGAGTAGAACTCATTGTCAGTAGCTAAGAACATTCTTCTTACGCATTCAATGTATAAGAGAAGTAGAGAAGAAGAAGAAGAAGAAGAAACTTGCGTAGCAAGCCTGGATTACTTTGTTACTTTGACCCGAGCAGACAACACCCTCGCCTTCATAATCGTCTAGTTTTTTTATATAAGCATATGTGTCAACGAATTTATGATACACGATAGTTTATCCGATCTCTAAAAACACAAATAGCCTTGAACTTTGACACAATTCGATAAATCACAGAATGAATTTAATTGACGTTCCAATAAATAACTTAAGCGATAATTATAATCATTCGATAAATCTCTGTGAGATTATTAAATTCGTTATTTATGGCCTTTTTATTTTTTAATGAGAATGTATATGTGTGTGAGTGTGTGTGTGCAATCGTTGTGTTGAATCGATTTGCGAGTACAAGGCGTGGAAATGTTTTATTTACAATTTGAAAAGGAAACGATGGGAAGAAGTTGACTCTTTCTCACTTTCTCGTTTAAAGACGTTTCTCACAATTGTGTTTGCCTTTCGATACGCACGAGACGATTCGCGTTCTACTTTTGTTCTCTCTCTCTTTCTTTCTTTCTTTCTTGCAGGTAAGAACCTCGCCTCGTTTCCAGTTGTAAACGATGACAAAGCGTGTGCGCGCACGCGGCCGAGGGTGAGGCTCCACGCGAATGACGAAATCTTCCTTGGGAAAATGCTCGCGTAATCCAAAGATAGATATTAATTGGAGATAACGTTTGTGTACAATGCACCGAGATCTCACCTTCGTTACGCTTTACATTGAATTAATTCAAACTTTTCTTCCTCTTTCCTTTTTTTTTTATCTTTACTTATTAACTACGTTTATTTTATTCATATCTTATTTACGCTTTGAATAACCCTTGCCGTGCTAACGTTACCAAGTGAAATTTCAATAAAGTATTCAAGATAAATATTCTTTCTCGTTGTCGGTCGTAATAATTCATTTTCGTTGTCAACAACAGCAAGGGGATACAATTAAACGAGTTGCATTCGATAGTTATACGTCATATTTAAACATTTCATAGCTTCGTGGAGATACGCAGGTGTATTAGAAATATAAAAGAAAAAATGTTCTTTACGTTATTACGATATCGTCGAAAAAAGTCGATTCATTCTAATGATACGAATGTTGCTCGTATTGTGTAGAAAAATTGTGTAACCAAAATTCAGCTACCAAAGAACCACTGGCCTGTTTCGGCTTTCAGTCTTGCTGATCGATGCATTTCTTTTGTTTTATCCATTATTGTTTATTCTCAAACGCATTAATGGGGTACAATTTTTTGTTGATTTAATATTATTAATTTTGTAATTTTGTTTTTCACACAAATTTTAATATAAATCAATAAGTCAAGTTATTATTATTTTGCAAGGATCGCTTCTACATATTAGCTAGTTATTACATATGAAAAAACCTAGTGGTGTTATTATTTTAGAGCGAAAATTTCTCGGATGAAGATAATCAACTCGGGATAATATAATTTGTGCAAATTTATATAACGATATAATAGATAGAAAATTTCAATTATGATATATTTTTAAGTTCACATTATAAATTATCATGCAAAACGAAACAGATACAAAATTTAATGCATGTCGATGTAATTAAGCTTTATAAGTATAACGCAAATAATATTAAAATCGAATAAGCAAATGAAATTAATATATATTTTTGAATATATGTACATTATAAGGTGACTCAACTGCTATATATAAATATGACGAATAAAAGACGGATAAATATACATATATATCTCGTACATGATTAACAACAAATTTTTCTTAGAATATATATATTAGAATTAATAATATAATATAGATAATATTGCTACTATTATCTAGCCTTTATTTAAAATGATAATTTATCAATAAAGAAACAAATTCTGCATTTCCTAATGTTCTTTTTGAAATCCTTATAATTTAATTAGCTTTTGCGAAACAATATAGTATGTAAATGCATAAGTAAATACGTTAACCGCTGCTAGATGGCGAGCGGTCGTGTCATTTGAGCGCATGAAAATATGCAATTCTTCGTACAACGAAGCTCTATACAAGGAAGACAATCGAGATACACGTTTTCGTCGAATTTGTGTTGTTGAAAATAAGTAAATACCGAGTACGATAATTCTCCACGAGGGCGGCGGTGGTGTTCAGGAGTTCAGATTTAAGTACGTGTGATTTTATAAATAAACAAATGAAACAAATAGTTCTATTCGATGTTTTTTGTTTTTTGATCTGATCCGTCGAATCGATGCGCTCTCTAGTGGCAATAAAAATCATCCTCTCATAGTGTATATACGTAGACACATTTTATAACACTGCGATCGTCCTCCTTGTTTATAGGCTTCGTGCGTAGTCGTGTTACGACCTCGTGTCGAATAGGATATCTTGTAAAATGAGGTTACCGATATAATCTTTAAAAAATGTCATAAACTTAAGTTGCATAGTAAATAAATCATTAGGTAGCGTGAAACGCGAATAACTGGACTAAAAAAGAAATAATGGATACATATAATTATTATACTACACTTGGTTGTTCCGTCGAATCATCGTACGACGATATTAAGCATGCATATTATCATCGTGCACGTGAACTTCATCCAGATAAAAACACCGGAAAAGAAAATATTGAAAAATTTCAACGTCTTGCCGAAGCTTGGTCTATCTTAAAAGATCCCGAATTGAGGAAAAAGTATGACAGCGAATGTAAGCAAGCGGAATTAGAATCTGATAACATTGTTGTTCATGCGACTGTACAATTACATGAATTACAAGAAATAAATGATGATAACGTATTAAGTTTTCCATGCAGATGTGGAAATTATTACAAAGTAGACAAAAATATGCTCGAAGAACAAAATTGTTCAATTTATGTTACTTGTGAAGAATGTACTTTTATTATCATTGTTAAAACATGATATATTAAACAGTTTTCAGAAAGACAAATATTCTGTACTTAATATGTAACATTATAGGGTACAGTTGTTGCTGGAGTATTAAAGCGGTAATGCAATTGTCAAGAAATCAATGGAAAACAAACTTTGACCTGTAAATTATACAAGTTTAAATTCCATCTTTTATTCCATAGCATATATCTTGTTGGTTTTGAATAAATTTTCAAACTTTACAGTGTCGTCAAAAGTGACTAAAAGTTTGTTTGAATTTTCACACGCTTTTACTCCTATTGTTATTATAAAAATAAATCTAACTGCGCATCGCAGAAAATTGAAATATATTGTGTTCAAATATACATACGTATATACACATATAGTATATAGTTTTGTCCATTTAATTTGTTAATTGTTGCTACATTTCCAACGTTAAAAAAATATTATCTATTTATATAGGAAACTAAGTGTACAGATTCTAGTTTGCTTTTAGACAAATTTGATATGACAGAATATAGTAAATAAAAATACGACTTTTCTAAAATGGAGCAACATTTTCTATTTCTTGTAAAAAATGATACAACAGATAACACATCCTTATAATATAAACTATTAAGCAATATACAAATAAAACACGATCCTTAGAATAACCAGGGTTCAATAATAAAAGATGCGTTCACGCGAAATATATCTTCCGATATATGTATTCTGATAAATGAATATACTGAGCATTTTTTCAAACCTAGTTTTCAATGATCCGTTTTTGTCTCTATACATTGATAGAATTAATAAATTTCTCTAAAGATCGTGATTACACAAGCGATTTTATGAAATTGACTTATACATTCTATATGCAGAAAATAATATGCAGCTCTTATTATTGCCCCTTGGTAGAAAAAAAAGAAATACTTTAATGAATTATTGAAAAGATACTGCTATTATATAACTTTCGATGCGAGCCTTTTCATTACATTTACTTCCAATCATTTATATAATCATTTACGCCACGATTTACGTTACGATATTGCTTACATAGAATAAATAAATTCTTTTCCAATAATTCTAATGATTCGCTCATTTTTGTAGATATTTTTATACTTATATAAAAAAGTCATTTTAATTTTTGAATATAATTAATGATGGAGATTTTAATCGCCACACATATGGGATTACACCTAATGAAAATATTTATATATCACAATATACATATATGCCTATTTAACGTAAATATATAAAAACAAATTTAAGTCATATTCACCACGATATGCAACTCCAAAATTGCAATTAAGATCAAATTTTGTTTCCTTAGTCATTTCTATACACGTCCAAATTATTTGATCAAATTTTTGCATTTCTAAGTAAATTAAAGTGATTCTTCTTTCTTTCATATTTCGACGTTGGAATTAAACAAATTTGCAACTATTTACCTAACGATTTACTAATATTCATTACATCATACATCATTATATCCAAGTGATAGTTATAAAATCTAAATCTTTGTGTCCTCCCATATGCGTATCTTTGTCAGTCTCACAACAACGTATTTTCCTTCTTAAAACAAAAATTATTTTTCTAGATACAGATGGATACCTAAATAATGCGGCATGATTTCTTGATCTTTGCATTTAGATTAAGATAAGGTTTAATTAGATATAATTTCTTCAATAAAATAAAAAAAAAAATAACTACGTTAAATTGTAACTTACGTGGGCAATTAATAATAACTTATTCAATTTAGAATTTTTTAAATAATTTTTTCATAGTATTGATAAAACCTTTTTTATATTGTAACAAATTAGATTTCCTTGGCTTTCTCAGTACAAATTTTGTTAACAGCCCACATAAACTTGCAATGAAAATTTCAATATAAAAGAATGATCATGCCTCTTTTATATTTGTAATAGTTCTGATAAATTCAATAACAGCAATAATTCAGTATTACACTTGTAAAGCTCTCATTTCCTGGAGGCTATTGAGTCTTTTAAATCTCATATTTGTACACTGCAATTGATACACCTCGCAAGTTATGTACTTAATCCTGTCAATGTTAGACAACTCATCTAATTAAAGATTGCTCATAATGTCCAAAATTGACTTCAACCAACTTCTTCAAATTTCCACCGTACAGTCTTATCACAATCACACCATGTAATACATGAAACATTGTACAGTAAATTGGTTATGCTACCTAATAAAAGTATGTACATAAGTCGTACAAAGGAGCAGGAATCCAGTCTGTGAGAAAGTGCTATTTTATCTCTACATCAAAATCAAGAACAAGAAGTTTAGTTTCCTCCGTACCATTGCGACTACCAACTGCACACACCAATTTTGTATCACTTGCACGTATTCTCCATACAACTCCACCACTTCCACCACTTTCTAAAGCAACTAGATTTCTTATAAAATCACCTAATAAATACACACAAAAAATGTCATTATCATATGATTAACTTATTATATAACATGATAATAATTAGTAGAATAATTTACGTACCAGTTTTGACATCCCATAGCTTAACAGTACCATCGTCGGAGGAAGTAATCACAAAATGACTATTAAACTGAAGACAAGTAACCGCCGACTGATGTTTATTTGGACCAGAAAGTGTTTGAAGGCAGTGCCCGCTAACAATGTCCCACACCTTGACCGTAGAGTCTGCATTTCCGGACACCAAAATATTATTACGCAATTCCATACCTGAAGTAAGAGACTGATGACCCATAAGAGTATGTCTACAAGCACCAGTTTCCACTTCCCATACTCTTATACTCGTATCCAGTGATCCACTAACAACATGCACACCATCGAACTAATAAGGAGAAACAGGATATATATATATATATATATTAATAATTATACAAATTGGAAAAGTTGAACAAGAAAATTTGATAAGAGTAATATTTACCTGGAGGGAATAGACACGATTGGTATGTCCTTGCAATGTATGAAGGCACTCCTCGCGTTCGGGATTCCATACTTTGACCATATAATCATAAGCCCCACTTACAACTAATTTTCCATCATATTGCACACACCTGACAGCTGCCAAATGGCCCACAAGTACGTGGAGGCATTCACCAGTGTCTATTTGCCACACTCTTAATGTGGCATCTCTACTACCACTAACCACTTTGTTTCCATATAAATGCATACATCTCACCGTCGATGTATGCCCATACAAAGTATGAATACACTGACCAGTCTCTGCATTCCATACTTTTAAGGTACGATCTGTACTACCGCTAATCACTATAGTTCCTGACATTTGAGAAGACCAGACACCTCCAGTGTGTCCAACCAATGTTCGTAAACACTACAAATAAAGATATTCATATTGTAAGCTAATTAGATTTATTAGCTTTAAATTATTATATTTCAATTTTTATATACTTGTGGGATATTTACCTTACCCGTAACGGCTGACCAAACTTTAAGAGTATTATCATCAGAACCACTAACTATTCGATTGCCAGAAAACTGAAGGCATGTAATAACGTGATCATCGTGACCTTTAAGAACTTTTGGAGTACGGATAGGCTTTGTTCTCCAATTCATTTTTATATTGTGTTGTCGCATGTAAGCTTGTTTCCATGGCGACGAAGAATTTCCAGGATTTCTTCCATTTTTACGTTTCCACGGAGGGAAATCTTTTAAATCATCTATACCAGCAGCTATGCATTTCTCTTTCCAAAGTAAATTATCGTCTGCTAAAAATCTCCAATTCCTACATGTCTGCGCTGCGCGTAATAAATCTCTTGGTTCTAAGAAAGCCAATACTGATAAGGCTAATTCTTTTGGCAGTAAGGATATGAAATCCCTTTGAAATTGTGGTTCTATAACTTGCATCATATGACGGACTTGCGTTGGTTCGCATCTTTCTATTAATTCATCTATAGCCAGCATTCTTTCTGCATTTGACCACCTCTAAAAATGTAATAACGTATAATACATAAAATATGATAGGCATATACATCAAATATTTATAATAAAATAAGTTGAGAGGTATCTGTAAACATACTTGAAATTGTAAAAGCCAACTATTCATTTCGGGCGGTGGATTATCTTTCGTTGGAATAATGCATCTAACGTGTTTAGCCTTATCATCCAGTTTTTTTATATTCCTATTTAAAATAATAATACTCATTAGTATTAAATATAATGCATAAATTTTTAAGATAGCACATACATCATATGAGATTTGTCATCTGGATTAGGTTTCTTGCATGGTAAGCTAGATTCCGTTTCACTTTTTCGTTTTCTATGAGGCTGTACAATATCCAATGGAACGCATGTGTGTAATATCGGGCTGTGGGCTCTCTGCGGCAGGCATGGCTGAGCTGGTAACGCTGGTGATGAACAGCTGCTACCTTCGATTTCTTCTTCACACTCAGCATCATAAAATAAGCCAGAATCGCTAATCTGTTTTATCGTTAATTTATCAATTATGGTCTTAAGATATTAGATTCAAAAATATATGAAATACAAATATATACTAAATGTTTGAACTAAAGAATAAAATAAGCTTACCTCGCTCTCCTCTTCGCTACTTTCATCTTCATCATCTTCTTCGTCCCCATATTCTTCTGATTCTCCATCTTGTGGAAAGGTGCAATGCATAGGATCTAAGGAACTAGGTCCAGGAACAACTTCGATACCTTCGACAGGACTTGGACTTGTACCTCCTGGTTTTCCTTCGCTAAGCTTTTTTGATGATGTAGAAGGAACAGACATTACTGTATTTTCTTTCTTTTAACAATCTGAAAAATCAAAATGAGACCTTTTAAAACGTAATGTACGATATCGAATGATTATATTGTAAAATCTCTTATTTTACAAACTATATGCAAGAAAAAATATATATACTAGCTGAAATATTATAATAACAGTAAGGCAAATTTTGAACCAATACTTCCTTTTAAAATTGCATAGTTTTATGGCCAATGTATAGTAGAATACTTTGTCTATATGATATTTTCTAACTTTAAAATATTTGATGTTATAGGTTTTTAAATTGATCTCCAAAATAATCATCATTTATAAGTAAACGAAAGATAATATTTTATCTAGAAATATTATAAGTAATAAAGAGATAAAGTTAGATAGTGCATCTTATATATGTGTATATATAATGCATATATAAATAAGCTGTAGATCAAGTCATGAAAAATATATATACTACTATGGGAAATATATCATACACTTCGTTATATAAATAAACTTTTTCATAAAAAGAACTAATATATCTAAGATTATTTGATTTATAAAGAAAAATAATATATGCATATAAATATGTGTGTAATCATAGTTATTTTATTGCATTAAACAAAGAACTTGAATTTATCAGTACTTTAATAAACACTGGTAGCAGTAGTTAACGAATGATGCTTCATCAGTCAAAATAAGTATATTCAACTAAACTTTTGATAGAAAATTGACAAATATCTTGCATTGTACAATCGAATTTGCAATTGAGAAAAAAATGACATTAGATTGTTCTTCGGGTAATGCATAATAGATCGATGTTCGAGACAAATTGCAACGAAAGAAAAAGGAAACGAATCTGACACAAACGAAACAGAGTCGATTCACAAAGTTGGGATCACTAATAGAATGATTATATTCTTCGACAATAAACACATATTATTTATTAACACAGCGAGAAAAAAAAGTCTTAACCTTGATTATTTTTACTATTGTAGCGTGTAATTTGAAAGCTAGCCTAGAACACCTCGTGGCTCGGTTAGCCACACCCCGTCCCTTTTATATTTTTTTTCCGAAGTCAACTTAACTACCTGAATCTAAAAACGTGGAAAATACTTCATAAAGAATATTCATACTTGGGACACTTTTCTTCTTTGCCCTTCCTCAGCGGAGTCAAACGTCTTGACGATGCAGCGTTGTTAAAAGGCTATTATGTTTTTCTATCAACTGATCGTAGTATACATGTTGTTGTTGTAAGGACGATTTATCGATATGAAAGTGTGAGAATAATGATATTAGATAAAGGTAATATTTGAAAAGGAAGCGGTAAAATAAAAACAGAATAGATGTATAAACACGGCAAAGAACCCATCGGTAGCCCGTGGCAGCTCCGAGGTTGCCTTCCAAACTCCGGCGATACAGAAACCAAAAACATACAATTCTACGAATGCCAAACTCATCTAACTAACTTTAACGGCTCCAAATTGGTTTACCCTCTTATGCGCTGGCGCATTTGTTTTCTATGTTAGATTGACGCCAATTCGACTAAATTACCAATGCAATTCCCTAAGTGTCTCTAGATTTCCTAGTATCGTCGTTCGTGGATTACCGTATGTATAAGAATTAAAAGTTTCTAGATTTATAAAAGTACATAATTGATTTTTAAAATGCCCTAGGAATTTTTCACGCATCCTCTATCGTATTTTCTTAATTATTTACTTTAATTCTATAGTATGTTTAGAATAGTAAATCGTATCTAATAGATATTAATATATTGTATTAATGTCTTTACCCTAACCCATGCATATAATCTTAAAAATTTAGAGAAAAAATTAGTTTCATTCTTTAAAGGAAGATATTCGATCATGCACCACCATCTTTAAGCTCTATATATTATCACTCTCATTTACATACATATATATATTTACTTATAAACACATACATGCATATATACATCATTCAGTTTATTTCATGCGGTGAATTGCTGCATCAGGTGAGGTTATAATTTGATGATATGTATGATCAGAATGTTTGCCGATTATAATAAGTGTTAACGTCTTTACTATTATAATAATGATTACGAAGAGTAATTATGAAAGGACATATTGTCTTTCATTTGTTTTTTATATAGAAACTTGATGCAAAAAGAAAATGAATTGGTTATATAGTATATTTATTTATTCTTAATGTCTTCGAGGAAGAATATACTTAATAAGAATGTTTTTTAAACTTTTATCACGATATTTTTGGAAGAAGAAATGTATAAAATTACATTTTATGAATCGTTCCTATCACATAAATCAAAGTGATCACGTATCTAATGTTTCCTTAATAGGAATAAAAAGAATATTAAGGCAAAATAATATTGCATTTATGGAAGGTCATACTTGTATTTGTGCGGATTGTCCTATATGTGAAATGAATAAATGTATAAAAGGCCCAAAGATATATATAAATAAGACAACAGGTAAACACATATTTGAATTTTCTAATTTATTATTAATAATTGTGGAATACAATCGTACAATATATATGTATCTATGATTATTATTTCTAAGACAAATATTACATTATATATTACAGGGTTCTTTATATGCGATAAGTGTAGGTGTGTTGGATCCTGGAGTATATTAGAAAAAATTTTATCGTTGAAGATAACTAGTAAAACGATTAAGGAATTGGAGAAACTGAAAAACAGTTTACTGGTGGATTCAAATTATACGAATGAATGGAAAATTATAAAGAAAGATTGTTTAGAGATTTCTGAATTATCCACAGATGAATATGAAAAGATCTTTGATACGCTTTCCTTAAAAGTATAATCTAATAATCAATAATATTGTAATAAAGATTTATTAAATTTATTTATATATACATATTTTTTTTTAATCTAATTTACAGATTATATCTCGGGCAGATATATCCGCATTAAACTGTTTGTACAACAAAAGTAAAAATGTACTTTATTTTCCACTATATGCTTTTGGTCAATACCTTGTCGGTTTTAAACAACTGTGCTTGAATACTAAAACCGAAGTAACTGTTCCAACTTCAGACGTCAGTGGTCTTATAATTTACAAGCAAAAAAATGCAAGAAACGATATTACTGCGGTTGTTGTACCTACCATTACAGACTTGTTAGCACTAATATCTCAAAAATTAACAAATCTCATCGTATGTTTGCCATACAATTTACAATACTTACCCCAACAGGTATTGCCAAGTCTAGAAAATTTTAAAAAATTAACTTTATGGTTTGGAAATGAAGATTTAAGTTGGGATACAGCACGACAGTTTGCCAAAAAACTGAATGAAGAAAGATGTTACTTTGTAAGATCAACAGATCTACAACCTAGACCAAAAACTGCTGTTGATTTAGGATATGACATTAAAAATATTATACAGAATGCTCAGCCTATATGGCATCAAAGTATTACTACCTTTCGTTCTTTGAGGCATGATGTTTTAAGTGATTTACAAAATATTGATAAAGTTCAAGGTGTCAAATGGAATCGATATCCAGCTCTAAATCGTATTTTGAAGGGCCATAGAAGAGGAGAATTTACAATATTAACTGGTCCAACTGGTAAAATGATTATGTAGCGAGACATATAAATTATAAATATATATATATATATATATATATATTTCTTTGTTATATTAAATAAAAAATATATTTTTAGGATCAGGTAAAACTACATTTATCAGTGAATATTCATTAGATCTGGCGATGCAAGGAGTTAACACATTATGGGGTAGTTTTGAAATTCGAAACGCACGATTAGCAAAAACAATGTTACAACAAATGGCAGGTGTCTCTCTTGATGATAATCTAACTGATTTTGATAAGTATGCTGATGCTTTTGAAAAGTTACCTATATATTTTATGATTTTTCATGGTCAGCAAAGTATTAAAGTTGTTATGGATGTAAGTTTATAAAAATAAATGATTCAAACTCTTATGTAGATAATAATTGAACGAAGTACTTACTTGTTGCATGTTTAGGCAGTGGAACATGCAACGTATGTACACGACATATCTCATGTGATCATTGATAATGTACAATTTATGATGGGAATTTCTGATGAAGCCAAACACATAGATAGGTAATTCATTAATATTGATAAAAATAAAACTATGATTTCAACTCTTCTATTATTTGTATGTAGGTTTTGGAGACAAGACAAAATAATTTCTGCATTTAGAAATTTTGCTACAAAATACAATTGCCACGTTACACTTGTAATTCATCCAAGGAAAGAACGTTATGACGAAGAACTAACAACTTCATCTATTTTTGGAAGTGCTAAAGCAAGTCAAGAAGCTGATAATGTTCTCATTATACAAGACAAGAGACTTACTAGTATAAGAGGAAAAAAATATTTACAAGTAAGAATATATATAAATTTTAATTTGAGTCAAGAAAATTTCAGCAAGCATAAATCCTTTGTTTTTTTTTTTGTTTCATTTGATACTATAGGTAGCCAAAAATAGATACACCGGTGATTTGGGTATCATGCCTTTGGATTTTGATAAAACCAGTTTAAGTTATGTAACTAAGAAAAAATCAAAATCTGAAACAAAAAGTTCTACGAAATGTAATTCCAATGAAGAATTAGAATCATAGAATACAATTGAAATCAGAATCGGGAAAAAATTAATGGATTTGTACAGTGAATATTTTATATATTTGTAGGATTTTTCTTTAAGAAAATACAAGAAATATCTCAACACTTTGTAAAGAACAAAAATTTGTATTAAAAAAATATAAGATAATATTTGATTCGAATGTTTTATTTGATGCAAATAATGCTATAATTTGTTATTAATATAAGCAGAACTGAACAAGAGCAAAAACAAGATATTAGAAGACTATTCCAAAATATTCAATTTTATCTGATCATAGCTGGTAAGCTAAAGGGGCGTAGGAGGAGAGAGAGTCAAAGAGAAGGAAAGAGAATAAAAGTAGTCTTTTAACACGTTCGCTACTAATATTTATTAATTCATCCGCTATTATAATCAGCAATTTGTAGATGTTATTCCATGTGATTTATCAAAAATTACATTGATAATTATGTTCAGTAAAACAATATTTCGATGTTTCATTTGTTTTTTGTTGATATCTGATTACACATGGTTCATTCAATGTACCGAACGTTTGAAAAAGCCGACAATACTGATAGCGATTTTAATTAGAAATAAAGCCCATACATTACCATATTTTCTAAGTTTGTTAGAACAACAAAATTATCCTAAAAATCGAATAAAATTATGGTAAGATCAAAATAACTTCTCTTTTCAAAGATATAACCATTTTAACCTTACTTTTCGATGCATAATTGTGTTTATGCCGGAGATATACTATAGTAGAGTTATGATTTTTAGAAAAGATATAATGTTTGCGTTTAAAATGATTAAAGAAATTAATTGAAATTTTCCAAAACGACTAAATCTAGTATACCGCTTATGTGCTTCTAATATATTTCTTTTATCTTTTGTAGGATCCGTAGCGATAATAATATTGATAATACAAGTGAGGTATTGAGAGCATGGTTAGCAGAAGAATCAGAAAAATATCATACTATCGATACGTTTATAGATGACAATTCTAATGGATTTGAAGATGAAAAAAGTAGTACAAATTGGTCGCCTCTTCGATTCAAACATGTCATCAATTTACGACAAGAAGCATTGGATTATGCCAGAAAAATATGGGCTGATTTTATTTGGGTAATTTTGATTGTTCATAATTAATAATCAAATTCAACATAATAATTTAGAAATTTGTAGATGCTCGATGCTGATACTTTTTTGATGGATCCAAATACTCTAACAAATTTAATATTAAAAGAGCAAGTTGTGGTTGCTCCTTTGTTAAAATCAGATGGGTTATACAGTAACTTTTGGGCTGGGATGACCGATGACTATTATTATCTTCGAACAGAAAAGTACCAGCTGATTTTATATCGCGAAGATGTAGGATGTTTTAATGTTCCCATGATTCATAGTGCTGTTCTTATTAATTTAAATATGGTACAATCAGATTTGTTGTCTTATAATTTTACAAATTTACCAAAGTATGATGGTCCTTTAGACGATGTTATAACTTTTGCTGTTGGTGCTAATGAATCAGGTAAATCATTGAACTCGCATTTCTATTACACATATGCAAATAATGCAAGAATTACATAAATATGCAGGTGTCCCATTGTATATCTGTAACGATCAATTATATGGATACATCATGGTACCATTGGGAGAAGATGAAACGATTAAAGAAGATCTTCAAAGGCTAACAAATATTAAATTACAAATGTTGTGTATGTCAAAATTGATGTTTTTTATATTATGTTTGTTATCCTTATATTTATTACATTTCTTTTTTTATTAAAATGATTTTAGCAGAAGATCATTTATCAATATCGAATAGTATGAAAAAATTCATATCTTTTCCAAAAAAAGATACCCTAGGGTTGGACAATATTTATATGATTAATCTTTTAAGAAGATCAGAGAGGCGTACTAGAATGTATCGTCTTTTTGAAGAACTCGGCGCGCAAGTAGAAACTTTTAATGCAGTAGATGGCAGGTAAATTTCATTTAATACAGTGTACTTTTTATGTGTGAGGTAAAATATTTTATTTATTTGAATACTTCCGAATACCTATATCCTGATATTATAGCAAGTTAAGCGAAGAAGATCTGAACAAATTGGATGTGAAATTAATGGCAGAATATGAAGATCCTTACCATAAAAGACCTATGACAACTGGAGAAATTGGTTGCTTTTTAAGTCATTATTATATCTGGAATCAGGTAACGTAATGAAATGTTATAGTAGGCTAATAGAATGAAGAGACTTTTATTACTGATAATAATCAAAAAATCAGGTATTAAATAATAAATACGAACGGGTTATGATTCTGGAAGATGACATTAGTTTTGAGCCATTCTTTCGACAGAAATTGTATTTTCTTCTATCCGAATTGAGTACATTACAGATTCCATGGGATTTAATGTAAGAGCTCTGTATACTTGTAGAAAATGTTTATTTTGTAACTCTTAGAAAATTATTGCTATGATATTACTGGTACTTTATAGATACATAGGAAGAAAAAGATTAATAGAAAAAGATGAATCTTGGGTAGAAGGTTCAAAGTATTTGGTTAATGCAGCATATAGCTACTGGACTCTCGGTTATATTTTATCAGCTACTGGTGCCAGAAAACTTGTTGAGGCTAAACCACTTCAAAATATAATACCTGTTGATGAATATATTCCTATTCTATCAAATGCTCATCCAAGGTAAGCCGAATGTTTATTTAAAATAGAAAAAAGATCATTTTCTACCTCATGTTTTTATGTTTTTATTTTTAATATAAGAGAGGATTGGAAAAAGCATTATCCAGTACGTAATTTGAGAGTGCTATCTACAAATCCTCTTTTGATACATCCTACTCATTATACGGGTGATCTGGGATATATAAGTGACACAGAAAATTCAAAGATCGTTTTTGACAGTCAAGGAAGCAATATTTTGAAAAATCGAGACGAATTATGAATAATTAAAAAATATACTAAATTTGTTTAACATAACATTTATACAATTAGATGATATTTTACAATTATGCAATTATCTCAATTTGCTATGTATTATTGGTAAGTATTTCATGATTTATGCTTCTACCTACATTTCTTTTGTATTTTTCTTACAAGTAGATAATCGTGCCATAATATTTATTTTAACCGATATATTATTATTTTATGTTACGTATTGTGCATCTCTCATTTAATAATAACAATTATTATTGTTAATATAAAAGGTTTATTTTGTGTTTATAATTTTCCTAAAATTTCACCGATTTTTGTCTCATTCAAATGCAATTTTGTATAATTGCTCTTAATGATCCGATGAAAAGTTTGAGCTATTTAATTCGTAAAAATTGCAACTATAATTTATACGACAGGCTACAAGACTTTAACGGTGCGTTCCACTAAGCGCTCACAACGATCAAAATGCTCCTTTACGGTGCGTTCCACTAAGCGCTCACAACGATCAAAATGCTCCTTTAGTCGTTCCACATAACGACCGCGGTCGTTGTGGTCGCGGCGAAAACGTCACTCATGACGTCATTACTAACGCTCACGCGAAGCCCACAACGACCAATCTGAACACGTGGGTCGTAGTGAGCGTTGAGAAAATTAGCGGTTTTTTCGAAACTGACAACAATAAAAATGGCGACCGTGAAACTGACATGAAGGATTACAGATTAAATCTTAACCTCTTTAATCTTTTACTTTCTTTTCACTACCTCGCCATTTGTATTATTACCTCCACGCTCAAAACGCACCATAGTCCATTCCACTTGAATTTACGACAGTAACGCTCGTAGGTAAGTGGAACGGGAAAAACTGTGGTCGTGAGCGTGATCATTGTGAGCGCTTAGTGGAACGCACCGTACATCTATCTCTTTTCAACTCTTTTAGGGTGCGTTCCACTAAGCGCTCACAACGATCACGCTCACGACCACAGTTTTTCCCGTTCCACTTACCTACGAGCGTTACTGTCCTAAATTCAAGTGGAATGGACTATGGTGCGTTTTGAGCGTGGAGGTAATAATACAAATGGCGAGGTAGTGAAAAGAAAGTAAAAGATTAAAGAGGTTAAGATTTAATCTGTAATCCTTCATGTCAGTTTCACGATCGCCATTTTTATTGTTGTCAGTTTCAAAAAAACCGCTAATTTTCTCAACGCTCACTACGACCCACGTTTTCAGATGGGTCGTTGCGGGCTTCGCGTGAGCGTTAGTAATGACGTCATGAGTGACGTTTTCGCCGCGACCACAACGATCGCGGTTGTTATGTGGAACGACTAAAGGAGCATTTTGATCGTTGTGAGCGCTTAGTGGAACGCACCGGTAGATGACGCGATTGTAGCTTGCGGATTTAGCGATCCAAATTTGAATCTCGACCGCGAATGCAAATGTTATTACGTAAATTTCAGCGAAAAAATATACCTTCTAGGATATTGTGATACTCATCTAAATCAATATTAATATACCACATCAAATGTATAAGATATACAATATATTAATAAACGTGTTTCTATACGTCTAATTTTATATTTTTATTACGTATTAATGCAATAATGTGGAACATAAATAATAATCGTATATGTAATTAAATTTGCATATAAATTGTATAATCACCCTAAAACAAAAGAACTTTCTTATCTCTAATTAGTTTTATAAAATCCATTAAAATGCATTCATTTGGCAAGAATAATAAAAATCTAAGAAAATATTAAAAAAAAAAAGAAGATAAATTGAGAATGAAGTCATATTATCATCGCGCCTGTCAAACCCCAATTGTATATCCGGCATGAATTGGTGCAACCAAAGACTGCATATTATATATCTTTAGGGTATTTCTATGAAGGGTATTCCGCGAAGAATATTCTATGAACGATACATAATACTGGTGACCGATAAGTCAGTTTGTCTGAACATATCCAAGTAGTATATCTAAAGGTAACCAAGTCGGGGTTGTACGCGTCAATAATGGCGGTTTCCGGCGGCACGACTGTTAGAGGATATAGACATAGAGTCGACCGACTGCTAAACTGTGATACAAGTCTGTGAACGCAACACGGATATATCTTTAAATATTCGTCAAGGCAATCGTTATATATCACGTTTTTGCGAAGAAACGTGTTAAACAGATTTATAGTTTGACAATCAAAAACGTTTATACGTTTCGTGGGATGTGGTTCTTCCGCATTTGTGGATAGTCAAACAATTTTCGATGCGAGACGTATGTAGTGTTTCTCAAATGGAGTTGACTGTACAATCGTGACTTTCGGCTTCGAACAGACTGACTGCAGTTTACACAACATCCCAGATTAAGTTTTTCACTGTTTCATTTAGACCTGCGATCCTTCTATATAAATTACCATATCATGGCCTCATCAAATAGAGGTATTCAAATTGGTTCGGCCTGGTATCAAACTAATATTAAGCTAAGACCACAGCATCGTGGCATACATCTTGTTACCGAAGAAATTTTAAAACAAATTCCAGAACTATATCAGTTCTCTGTTGGTCTTTGTCATATACAGAGTAAGTCATTTTCTTTTTCCAAATGATGTTTTTAATATTTTATAATCTCTATGTGTCTACATATACATATGCATAGACAACGTATATTACATTATAGATATATATGTATATGAACTATAATTGTGTGTCAACTATAATTTATATA